ACGCCCGGGCGCCCCCGCTTCATGTCCCCGGTCCAGGACGGTGCGACCCCCGCCTCCTTCCTTGGGGGCGGGGCCGTTACTCGCTCCCTCCGCTCACTCCGGGGCACCCCTGACATCGCCCCTCCTGACGTCAGCCCGGGGCAACGGCTGAGCGGCCTGGGAGCAGGCGGTGCACGGGTGAACCTCCCCGCTGCGGCGGCTGCCCAGTGCTTCCCCGACCACGGAGAAGGGACGGGGCGAGGACGCCCCATCACACTAGGGTTCCCAGATGGTTTGTCGAGCAAAAAAAGAAAAGCATTTCAGGTGCCAGGCAGAAGGAACCAATGGCAACCCTAGGGCCACCAAAGAAAATGTACTTTGTCGGAAAGTCGTAGTTATTTATTATTATAGATTATGTTTTAGGTATATTTTATAATATTACAATAATTTGATGTGTAAAATTGTTATTTGCTCATATTAAATCATTTTAAAATTAATTTTACATAATTTTTAATTTAATTTTAAGGGACTTTTTAATGTTGTATATGATTCATAACTTGTTTTGTTGAAATAATAACAAGTATAGACCATGGTTAATCAAATAGAACAGGCTTCTGTGAAAATTTCAGATACTTTATAAGTCTGAGATTTTGCATAAAGATATAACTATTCATGCAATTGCAAACAATTGACATTTATTGATATAAAATTAATATACATTTTGTGATTTTATTTGGGATTAAATAAATAAAAAACAAAATATTAACAAAATAACCCCCTTCCCTCCCCCAGAGCCAGGCCCCCGCAACCTAATGCCTCCCTCCTCCCCCAGAGCCAGGCACTCCCAGTCCCCCGCAACCTAATAACTGGGTCCCGGAGTCGACGTTGCCGCCTGAGTCACTGGGGCAACATGAGCACAGCGGCCAGCTGTGAGCACCTGCTGGGGCACCCAGGGCACAGCAGTCAGAACTGGCCGTGAGCATGTGCACAGAGCAGCCCAGCGGGCTGTGATCTACACTCGGCCACGTCGTCTGAGCGGCCAGCGGGCCGCACTTCATTCTTTTATAAAAATGTTCTGGCGGGCCACTAAAAATTTTGATCGGCCCGCATGCGGCCCTCCAAACGTCACTGTGACGTGCCTGGTGTAGGCCGTGTCAGCATTAGGGGGCTATGCCAGCAAAACTACTGGAACACAGTCTCACTCTGTACAGTGCCTAGCAAAATGGATTCTGATCTTTGCTTGCCTCTAGGCATCACTATACTGTACATCTATTTTCTGCTGAGTAGATATTTGAGATGCATTGCAATCATTCCCCACTCCTTGTGTGCAAAAAAAATAGCTGAACCATTTTTCCCTCAAAATTTTTTTAAAAAATTAATGTAAAATGAAACCTTCAGGCAGAGGCAAGTGTAACCTACACACCTACTGTGGTTCATGGTCCCATGCAGTGGCACCTAGACCACAGCAACACATAAGAGCAAGAGACCTCTACAGTACAGGTTGAGAGCCAGCTGGCTTTATAACTCAACTGTAGAGGTGCCTATACTAAGGTTCAGAGGACCCAGGTTCAAATCTGCCTGGTGGTGGTTGCACGAGGACTTTAAAAAAAAAAAAAAGTTTCAGAAGTATATAAGTAAATGAAACTGAAGAGTGTAGAATGGAGCCAGTCATGGAATCTTAACTCCATAGTTGCTCCTACCACTGTTCCGTGACGCCTGCAAAGGAACTGCACAATGGCATATGCAGCATAAATGGAGACCTCGAGGAGTTTTTATAACACGCACACACACAGGAGCTAGCAACTTCTAAATAGCAGCTAGATTGAGAAAGGTTGATAAGCTTCTAACAGCATAAGCGACTTCTCTTCTTACAGTTGCAGACGGATCTCAAGCAACTAACTCTATAGTTTGAATCATTACATTTTACTGATATAAACAACAAATGGATGACAAAAAGATTATGTTAACTAGTCCAGATACGTTTAAACAGCACAAATTAATCCATGAGCCCCATCCTGCACTCCTGACTCAGACAAAATTCCTAACTGAAGTCAATGGGAGTTTTGCTTTAGTAAGGATTATGAGCCAAGTCGTGGTTTTTAAGCCACAATCCATATTGAACATTGGGTGTGTTGCAGCATGAATCCTCAGCGCAATTTATCTGGATCTCAAAAACGCAGACCAGAAAACAGAGGGAAAGATTGTAACTTTTCCACGGAGGTTTGGATCAATTATTATTTTAACACAAACTGGATCACCAACAAGCCTAGTTAATACACGCTGCCAAACCACCAAGGGTCCAATCTCACTCCCTTTGAAGTCAGCAGGAGTCCCCCACCCCCCCATTGACTTAAATAGAAACAGATGAGGCCCTAAGAGATTGAAGAATCAAGGCATACACAGACAAGCATCTCTCATTAACACATCTACAAAAATGTCTGTAGTACCTGAGGTGTTAGTACAGTGTTTTATCTTTATCCTTGCTGGTGGTCTAAAGACTGTTGTATTTAGCTTAGATTTGCTAACGTTTTCTTGTAACCTCTTCCTTGGGCACACAGAAACAAAAAACAATGGGTGATGATTTGGGGGAGAGGGGAGACTAGGAAGGATTTGAGACATAGCTCTAATAAAAACAGACATACAAGTAAACTATTGCTAAATGTAAAACAATACTGTTTACAGCGCTGGTAGGTTTGAGTTGAAAAACTAAGCAAAGTGTAAGATCTGTAGAGAAAAAAAGATCCACTGAAACTCTGTGACACTATCCTTTTTTCCTTTTCAAATCTGAGCACCTTCAACATTCCTCACGTGAAAACTTAATGGGGATGAATCAAGAGGTATTAAAAATTTGACAGGGTTTTACTGAAATTACTCTAAAAACACCTATCGATTTTAATAGAGATTTTAAAACAAAAATCTTATACAAAGAAACTATGGAAGAGACAAAATTCTCTCACGAATTTGACAAAACTTTCTTCTAAGTGCCTGTTTTATTCTTTTAATGTCTGCATCTGCCCCCCTCCAGCCTCATAATGAAACCCTACGAGATATTTTGATTGAGACGATATGCTGGTGCTGAATTCCACCTGGGAGAATCTACTCCTGGAGCTCATTTTTTGGCTGGCTTTCAATATTACATAGGTATCATGTTAGTATGAATACACTTACCAAGAGAGTAATACTAGGAGGATCACCAGCAGAGCCACTGTTACTGTTGTTCCATTGATTTCCATGAAGGCAAATGTCAAAAGATCTGCAAGCTCCATTTTCCTTCACTACAAAATGCGGGTCTTAAGGTTGATGGGGAAGTCTCCTCAGTAACAGATAAAACCTTCCACAGTTACATGAATGACAGTCTGTAGTGAAACAGGAACCAAAAGAGCAAAGTATGTCAATTGTGAACTTTTCCTGTTCTCACTGACTGCAGCCTCCGAGAGAGGCAGAAGTTAAAGGTTTCCTGTCTATTGGGATGAAGCAACTTTTTTTCTCTTGTCACATCAATAAATATTTACATAGCTGCTGCTTGAGACATCAGAGTTGGCCCACAGGTTTGCAGCAAGAGTATGTGTATGTGGAATAGGTTTTGGGGAGTTGAAAACCTCTCAGTGAAGCCACTATGCTCTATAAACAGAAATAAAAATAAATAATTTCTATTTTGGAAATCGAAAAGTTCCTTTAAAATGCGAACAATCTGATGCATGGGAAAGCTGCTCAACAGGTAGCCCTGGAAATAGGCTGACCACAGGAGAGCATCCTCCAGTGTCCCTCTAACATGACTCAACGCTGACTGAACCACCATCTCCAGGAGCAGAAGGGGTAATTTCTGTTTCCATGCCCAGTACTTGGTATCTCAGATTACACAGCGAGCAGGTTTGAAACTAGGGGACAGGTGCCTATGATGGGCACACAACCCCTTCCACATAAGCTATCAAATGCTAGTGAATTTCAAATCACTAATGGTCTGAGCCATAGTTAAAAGTGAATTTCAAGTGAGAGACATCCTAACCACCCAGGAGATTCCTGGTCTATAGGGCCATCCAACATAGTTTATTATCCATTTTTTCTTTTAAATATGACACACAATCTCTTTGAAAGTTATGTAAATTAAAATATTCCCAAAGAGAACTAGGTTTGTGAATTATCTAGTAACCTTTAGACTACATATTCTGCTCATCGGATTCCCATAACACACAAGATGAAAAGTAGTTTCTTTTTATACAGCCCTCCGAGATAATAGCTTAGATTTAATGTGCAAGGCTTCTCCAGTATCACTGCATAACATTTCCTTCTCTTATCAGAGAAGTTAATAATATAGGAATCAGAGAAGTAAAAATCTCAAACACAATAGAGTTTAATTTTAAGAAGTTTTGGCTCCACTATAACTGAATCACTGCTATTTTAGTTCTCCGTACTTCACAACTACATTAATTCCTTTCCAGCTCCAGATCCTTACAAAGTAAATAAAAGGTGTTAGCTAGCTCTTCAGCTCCACAGAGTAGCACAGCAGTTCACAGAAAACCTTGCTTATTGTATTAATAACGCCACTGCTTCTAGATGCTACTCTGGGTCAATAATAGCAGTGCCGGTTTGCTGTTGCCAAATTGTCTGAGAACAATTTCATCACAACTCAAGATTGGAGACATGAAGGATTAATCACTAGGAACAAACTGATCCCAAATAACACTGATCTCCTTGGGCCTATATGGAATATTTCTTAAAAGCTTCTTTAAAAAGGAGGAGGATTAGTCACAAATCTCTAGAGCGAGACATTAGAAGTTTGGACTTTCCTGCACTGCTAAAGAGTTCATATAGTTGCTCACAGAAGGTCTAATGCTTCTCACACGGAAGGCAATGGCAAAACTCATGTCAAGTTCAGTCAGTATAGAGTTGGGCCTAGATTTTGCTGAATTATTTTTAATGAACTTTCCAGGATCACATTTGGAGGTGGATGTCTGATTCTTAAACACACTCAAAATGAAGGAACATAAGATTTTTAAATCAGCATCCCACATGGAACAAAATGAACACAGAAGTAGTTTGTTGTTGGACACTGCGTTTTTACACCCCTGCACCTGTTTCTTGCTGAGGTTATTAACTTGCCATCTTCATCCATGTAGAGGAGAAGGCCACTCAACCCAACACCCACCCAGAATATACCTCCCAAGTCCATTTGCTACGAAGTATGTACAATGACACCACAGTCCAGTCACTAATTTCCCAAAAGAGACTAATTTCCCAAAAGAGAATTTCCCAGCTGACACCCTGTGGAAAACTTTCAGAAACATTCTATTTATAGGGACTGTTCACAGCACTTCTCTTCCTTCACTGCATCATTACAAGACTTATTTCATGAGTTTATTGAAGAGCGAGTTACTTCTACTCACAATCCCCTGCTGAGTGACACCACAACTGGCTGGTATGTAAAGTATGATGTCTGCCAGGAGGCAGTGACTTCAGAGATGGGCAATTTCCCTTACTCTCAGTCAAATACCCAAGAAGACTGAGGTGAGGTAGAAAGGAAAAGGAATCCACTACTATGGCTGCTTACTGCAAGGTCAGGGCACAGCAAGGCTTCCTTCAGGTTGTAGTACAGGTATTCAGGGACAGGCAGAGAGTAGATCCATTGGGATCACAATCCATTGGCATTTATACTGTGGTCAACACCAGGGCATAGAATCATAGAATACTAGAACTGGAAGGGACCTTAAGCTTCCATCTAGAATTCCCCTCAACAACAGGGAGAGCCTACAGAACTCGGGTCTGTTCCACACAATACTATGCTTGGTTGGGCTTCATATCCCGACCCTTCCCCCACCCTCAATGTGCAGCAGAATCACATATAGAGAGAGGAACCCGGCTGCAGTAAAACTAAAGTAGAGGAAAGGGCAGTAAATGGCCTGCAGTAAAGAAGCAGATGAAGTCTTACAGCACAAGAGAACCAATTTACATGTATGTGTTTATAGCAGCTTAAAAAAAATACTAAGGAAGCACAGAAACTTCACAACAATTACTAGAAATTGAACTATTCCTTAACTAAAAAAATATATTTTCCAAGAACAGTTAATGATTTTTAAAGTCTTGTCCACATGCCCAGGAACAGTTTTTAAACACTGCTGCAACAGAAATAGTTTCTAAACTGGAATGCAGCATAAATATTCTACAATAATGAAAGCCTTCAGAATGCTTGTCATTGATTGGTTTGGTGATGACATAGAAAATACGGAATAAATAAAGTCACAGATCTCAAAACAAAGGCCAGAATCCCTGGCCTAATTTAGGCCTACGCTTTTAAAACGTGTCTAACAGCATATAAGGTTTCTGTGTTTCATAGACAGGATACGTAGGCTGAGTAAAAGCTAAACTAGCTTGGTTTCACCATAAACTCTTGCTAAATAATATTTTCTATTTATATGCCTATAGATTTATAATGAAGATACTGTAGAACTACCTATGCTATTTGATATATCAGAAGGTATACTTTTATTTTTAAATATAGGAAATATTAAAAGCTTAATTACCTGATACGATCATCTAAAGCATTCCTTAACAGCCCCCTTCAGTTCAAGGAAATTTTGTAGTGTAAGCAAGTTGACCACAAACCACAGCAAGTAGTTCAGCCCATTCTGTCTATTTTAATAGAAATGTGATCAATAAGATATTTACAACTAATCTAACAAGGTGTGTCCTGTATAATACAGAACCAACACCCAATATATAAAGAAGCTGATGTAGTCTAGTGGCCTATTAAGAATCTAATGTGAAGAGCAAATTTTTAGGATGAACCAACTGAAAAAGGTCATAAGGCCTGACCAACAGTGTGCTTGGCAGCTGCACAGTTTATCACCCCCTCCTGTTTTAATACCTGTGGAAGCTGTACTATCCCTCCCTTTAGGTATAGAACACTATCATATATAAAACCATTCATCCCGAAAGACACTGAACACCTGTCGCAGAGGTCATCTAGTCCAGGCCCCTGTGCTGAGGCAGGACCAAGTAAACCTAGAACAGGGGTGGCCAACCTAAACCTGAGAAGGAGCCAGAATTTACCAATGCACATTGCTAAAGAGCAACAGTTATGTCACCAGCTCTGATCATCTCCCCACCACCACTCTCAGCACTTCCCGTCCACTGGCAGCCCCACCGGTCAGTGCCTCCTTCTCCTTTTCCTCCTGCACACTGTGGGAGACACTAGAGGGGGGAAGCGTTAGGGTTGCCAGGTGTCCAGTATTCACCTGGACAGTCTGGTATTTTTGTCTCCTATCCAGTAAACAAATTCAGAGAATACCGGACACCTGAGATGTCCGGTATTTTCTGAATTTTTCCCCGGCCAGGAGGCAAAAATGCCAGTTACCTGGCAACCCTACAAACACTCTGCGCCCGGCCTTCTCCCCCCACCCCCTCCAAGACTCCCTCTCCCCCCGCCAGTATTCACCTGGACAGTCTGGTATTTTTGTCTCCTATCCAGTAAACAAATTCAGAGAATACCGGACACCTGAGATGTCCGGTATTTTCTGAATTTTTCCCCGGCCAGGAGGCAAAAATGCCAGTTACCTGGCAACCCTACAAACACTCTGCGCCCGGCCTTCTCCCCCCACCCCCTCCAAGACTCCCTCTCCCCCCGAACACGAAGAAAAAATCCCAGGCACCTGGCAACCCTACAAACACTCAGCTCCAAACACTCAGCTCCCAGCCCCCCCAACCCCAGCCCCCATGCTTACCTGGTTCCCCAAGACTGCCGGCACAAAACGGTCTTAATGCTCAATGGCTCCCCTGTTTCTATCCCTGTACTCACTCTTAAAGGGGACATGCTGTTTTATTTTAATTTTTTTTTTAGTCCTTTTCTTTTGCTTAACAACTTTGGTCTCCTCCCTTTTTTCCTCTTCAACAGAATTTTTTCTAGGTGGGTTTTTTTGTGGGGGGGGCAGGGCACATTCAGTATTTTTGTTTCAACCATCTGGCAACCCTAGGAAGCGTGGGTGTGACAGGCTCAGTGGAGAGGGTGGGAAGTGGCAGGATCCTTGGGGGAAGGGAAAAGTAGAACAGCACCTAGGGAAGTGGTTGAACAGTGAGCACCCTCCAGCCCAGTGGAAAGCTGGCACCTGTAGCTCCAGCCCTGGATTTGGTACCTATGTAAGGAGCCACATATTAACTTCTGAAGAGCTGCATATGGCTCTGGAGCCACCGGTTGGATACCCCTGACCTAGACCATTCCTCATGTGTTTATATAACATGTTCTTAAAAACCTCTGACAACAGAAACTCCATAACCTCCCTTGGAGGCCTGGTTCAGCTCTCGACTACCCTTTTTGTTGGAAAGTTTTCCTAAAGTTTCCCTTGCTGCAAATCAAGCCCATTAA